ACGTCAGGGAGGAAAAACAAAAAGGGGAAGATGTGAAAAGTAGAGAAAAATATTATTTCGATCCAGCATCCAAAAGAGAGAAGTCTCAAAGAAGACTGACTAAAAATATGTATATATGTATGTATGTATAGAGAGAGATACAACTGATGGTAAGTCTCTATAGAGAGCTGGAGGAGTTAAACTGAGCTGTGGAGCACCTGAAGGTTCTACCCTGGTTGCTCTTGTGTTCTTGCCTGTTTCACACTACAGAGTCAGCAGTCTGAAGCTGCACTGCACTGGTCTGCAGTTTCTCTGTATTTTCCACAGCGGAGATGCACGTGCGAACGCAAATATCCGATGGAGACTCTCTGTAGTTTCTGTCTGCTGCACCCGGCTGCTCCACCTCTCGTCTGAATAATGCAGAGGATTCGTTGCTGTTGTGAACGCGTCTGTGCAGAGAACCTCCCGCTGTGTTGTGCATGAGTGAATGTCAGACTCTGGGTAAACATTTCTAATGACTGATGAGACCGTTGCATGTCTTTGGTTCTCTACAGCTTGACAATGTCAAGATGGAGAGAGGAGGAGGGGGGAGGCTGTACTGTACATCACTGCAGATACACCCTCATGTATCCACAGCTTTGGTGTGATGTCTCTATCGCGCTAATGACGCAAGACAAAGCAACATATTGGCGTCTTTCATCACACAATTTCTTGATAAAAAACGAAGCTTTGATGTTGAGAAGTGTTTGGCTCTTAACTCTCAGCACCTTCTAATTAGATTCATTACAAAAGTAACAGGCTATAAGGCATCTTGACAGTGTGGGGGTGGAAACAGAGCGAGAGGGGGGCCGATGCCTACATTCACAGATACACAATCGAGAAACAGGCACGGACACAGCAAACATAAACATGCACAAGTGAAGGCAGTGGTGGGGGGGGTTGTAGATTTCAATAATCTTTGAGAAGGCAATATTTTCTTTCTGCTCACTTAGCCTCATGCTGATAACTGCCACTGGGTGCTGATAACTATTCATGTGTATGTGACACTGACTGCATACTAATAGTGCAGGTGCAGGGCTGGGCCTACAGTGAGAGAGAATTTCTGCTCAGATCGCACACTGTTTCTACAACGACTGAACAGACTTCCTCCTTAACACTCAAAAGTTCTACTAGGTGAGCAGAGTGAAGATGCACAGCAGGCTGCGGAGCCATGTTTTAAATCTGAATCACTAAGAGCTCCAATGTTAATACAATACACTTAATTTAGCTTTTTACACTATTTAGTACATTGATCAAAATGAAATAATAAAGACATTAAGCTATTATTATTATTTCATCCAGCCATCGATCCTTGGCTCTTACATGATGATGATGATGGAACAGCATTTATAATATAGCCACTAATTGGCGTCAACACCAGAAACCTATTCATTTTGGCCTGAAGGCTCATTTACGTAGCCTTGCCATTTATTTGTCCGTTTCAAATTATGAAACCGTCACTGCCCACATACTTCCATGCGTTCTTTACGTCGTTATTGTTGTTAAGCGCTATATCCACAAGAGGGCAGAGCAGAGTTAGGGGTTGAGAGGGTTGTGATATTGTTAGGAACACTTTTGAACACTGGGGCTCTGTGAAAGATGTTGACAACGAACTTCACTTCCATTTCCTTTGAAATGCCCTATGGGCGTCTTGAACTACCGCCCACACTGCCCCCCATGATTTCTGTTGGTACTGCTCCATTTCATGGGTTTTGTCATTAGCTTTCAGAAGACATGTAGAAGTATGGAGTACATTAATGCAGGCTCCGTCTGTTTAGGAATACGTTTTTAACGTTTAGCATATATGAGCTCTTAATCTTTTTTAACCTTTATAAAGTAATGCCACGTAAAAATGGTTTACATGTGTGCAGATAAGCAAAACAAACATTTAATTTAAAAAGACATTTGGAATTTGTGTTATTGAATTAGTGACAGTACAATATACACTTAGCCAAACAAGGCTCAAAAGACTCACTGCCACTCTTTCATGGTAGGAATCAATATTACTAATTCAGCCTTGCCCGTGGCTACAAGACGAGTCTGTTAAAAATCACACAAAATCCTGCAGCTGCATTAGAAAGCTCTTAAAACCACACGGGCACAATGATTAGCTTTTATTAAATGAAGCTGGATAATTAATGTAAAGCAGCTACGCTGCACTCTGTGCGAATACAACAAGGAAATAGAAGAACAAAAACCCTCTCCCTCTTTCTTTCTCTCATTCACTCTCTAAAATGCAGCGACGAAAGAAATGTAATAATACGACGCACACATGCACACAAGGAGACACAAGACAAATAGAGACAGATAGAGACATTTACATAAACAATGTCTGCATGCATAGATTAATGTGAACTGTGTGTTCATTAACAAATACAAACATATAGTGCACTCTCTCAGATGTGAACACGCACACTTGTAGCTGGAAGTGGTGTTACATATTCATAAATGCAGTATCATATGGCTGGTTGACATCTCTCTCTCTCTCTCTCTCTCTTGCCTCTAACACTTTTCCTAAAAATAGAAAGGAGATTTTTGTTCTGCTGCGAGTGAAAGACGAACCTTGACATCTTGAAGTCTCGTCTGTTGAGAAGGAAAATATGTCGGTATTGACACCTGTACTCGCTTGCTCACTAACAAGCCCATTAGCTTAAAGCAGGTGGTGCTCAGGTGTGTGAGTAAAGAGCTCGGAGCGCCTGGAAGTAAATACAGATTGTTGAATTTAATATCGACTGTTGAGTTGTCGCAGAGGCAGCTCATTCTTACCCGATGCACGGCAGAGAAGTACGTATAATAAAAGAGCGTCACAAACTAACGCACAAAAGGGGCACAGCCTTGAGAAAAGCAGACATTTTGTTAACGATGTTAAAAAGAATCTGAGGTCTTTGTTATGGTGTCTGACAAATGACATAACAAGGAAGCACATGGAAGATCAACTTATCCCCTGTGATGTGACTGTGGGGCACAGATATACGTTTAAGACGAGCCAACGTTGTGGTATCGTAGAAAAAAAGCATCAAGACATAAAGATAAGTAAACTTGTTGAAAGACAGATCAAGACTTCTAGAGATTGGCCAATTTCACATTTGACCTCGCTCCAACCCTGTGTCCGCCCAGCCAATCACAGAGGAGAAAACCTGAGGCGACCCCATGACCCCATAAAACAAGCAGCAGCTGGAAGAGCTGTAATGATGACTGGAGAGTAAAGGTGTGTCGCTGTGTCTGCAAACGAGGAGAGAGAGTCATTTATAGATGTTGGTTGAGTTTGTAGGGTGTGACCGCTGGGTTTATGGAGAGTTCAAAACAGATGTTTGAGGTGCATCGACCCGGAAAGCTCTCAAATCTCAAAATCAAAGTCATCTTTCCAAGCTGACATGTTTGTTGGTGTCTTCTCTGTTTGTGCCACCTCTTTTTCATCCTGAGATTTTTCTTTTAGCGTCAGTTGCGTCTCAGAAATGTCCGGCGCAAATATCTGGAGCTTGTGCAAGTCCAAAAGCAAATGTATTGTTGTTTCAGAGCTTCTGTAGAAACACGTTAATGCAGCTAGAAAATATAGGCAATGCTTTTGTTTTAGGTTGAAATGCATTTTAAGCATCGGTGTTATCTTTCCTATACAGTTTTTTTTTAATCCTTTGGTGCATGGTTAAAAATTTTAAATCCCCATGTGCCTTTATAAGAAGTCAGAGGATATTACTTGCTCCCACCAGGTCAATTCATATGGTTATGTTTAGCATTGCTGTTGTTGCATTCATTAAATCCCTAATTTCATCTACTCAGTCTTATCAAACAGTAAAAGAGAAAAGTTTTCTCATGCACAGCTATCGTAAAGTTGCTATTTGCCACAAAACAATCTTTGCAAAGAAGAACACGCAGACGTCCTGTCTCCTGCTGGTGTAGAATCTACATATCACTGGTGGGCGAGTGTTTCCTTCTCCTAATGAGTCTCCAGCAGAAAGTGGAAAGTGTGCGGCTGCGGCTAGAATCTGACACTATGCTACGTATTTGTTTTGAGTCACAAAATTAAAAACGAACCAAGTTCACACATTTTATCTTTAGTCTTTTGTGGGATCTCATTACACTGAAGCACATGGTTTGAGTGGTAATGGAAAGCGAATTTTAGAAGCAAAGATAAATAATGCTGTTCTGTGAACGTAAGAACTAAAAAAAACTGTTAGAAGAAGTCAGCCGCTGCTCTGAAGTTTGATTTGGCAAGACTCTGTATTTTTAATGCTTAATACTGAAATATTGTAGAAGGATTAAATGCTCTTTGTTTTGATAAACTGTGCTGACAAACCTTCTCCATATTTAATTTGGTCTAACATTAATCCCATCATTAATTAAGCAGATGAAAGACAACTGTTCTGTTTTGTCTGTATGAGCCACTTTGCAACACGTCAAGATGCTTTCATTGACGTTTCGGTCGTGTGTTTGAAATTCAGATGGATGTTTCTGTCAGTCTCCTTGTGATTGCTGCTCACACCACAGTGACGATAAATTCTCTGGGTTTGCGTCTGGGTTTGTTTGATGGATGATGGAATTCCCATCTTCCAGTGTTTTATTGCTCATTTAAAGCTTCTACAGGCAGCTTTCCTTGCGCAGTAGGTTGCATCTCAGGTTCCAAATCTTACACATTAAACTTCAAATAGAAAACACTGAAAAAAATTGCTCCACAGCAGGATTTCGATTCTTCTCCTGTGTAAATAACATATGTAAGTATACTGCATTCAAATGGCATGTATGTACACAGGAAATGACAAATGCATGTGGTGGACAGAATTCAGAAGACAAGAACCAGTGTAGGTGCATATGTTGTCAGCATCGATAGAGGAAATGTCAGTTCCAGATACGTTTAAGTGAAAATATAAGGTATTTCTACAATAATCTATAAAGAGAAGCTGGACAATCTGTTTTCTTCCCCCAGTGATCCGAAAACTTCAGATCAGGTGTCGTTCCATCAACTACAGCTGAAGTTTTAACTGTACCTGTATTCTTCTTGGGTGAACACAGGAATGACGGACGGCTGAAGGACTGTGATCTCCACCAGGGTTGTATTCTCCTTCGAAGGCTCGCCATCATCGTAGGCCACCACCACCAGCTGTCAGTCAGACACACACACGTAAAAACAGTCAAAACATCATGCAACACAACTGTCCAGTGCAGTTAACGTTTCTGTTCGTGTCCTTTAAAGAGAACATATTTAAAAAACATTTGACGTAGCCGAGTAAATCTACACAGCCAATAATTTGTTTCCCCATCATCTAAAAGTGCATCATTTTCATGGGAATAGGAGAGCAGGATGAGTGTGGATCCCACTGGTGAGCTTATTTGTTCCTGCTTAGCTTCTCTTCTTCATTTAATTGGGGGGTAACCACTGTTAACTGGACCCAGAGGAGTTCTAATGAAGACCAAACTTATATCAACACAGTGACATACTGCGTTTTCTCCCTGTTATTTAGCCAGGAAGGCATCACTGATACTGCATTACCCTCCTTTTTATTCACATTGCAACTAACCCACAAACCAGATAAATGCACAGATAACTCTTTAACTGTTGGAGACGTACAAACTGAGCTAAATTGCTTTGCTCTGTAGCTCAATGGCTACTGCTTAAGACTTAAATTGGCTGCTTTGTAGTTACAAAACGATTGCTAGAACATTCTGAGCTGCTGCAAACATGTTTTTTAAACCACTTAAACCTATTATGCTTTTATAATGCGATTGCAATTAGGCAGCCCTCGTGTCACTGAGATTTATCTGACTGTGAATCTGTCGTGAAAACTGTTTATGTCAGTCGTAATCCAAAACTGTAAGCGGCGTTGGATTGATTCATTTTGTCTGAGTTATCGGGAGCAAAAGAGGTAGAATGAGTCCCACGAGAGACATCTTCAGAGGACGCTGAATCCTTGTTGTGTTAATTAAAACCCAGTGAAAAAGATGAAATTAGCATGGCCCAAAGCTGCTGCATGGGAAAAAGGTAGTTTTGCAACTAATAAGCTTGTGCGGTACACTTCGTAAGGTGGATGGGGATTTCTGCTTCACACAGAGACACCTCTCATACACAAATGCTGCTGGTGAGCAAGTAAAATGTGAGATTAATGATCAAATACATTCTTAATGACTCAATTCATGTGATGTCGTCCCAAACCTCCGCCCACTTAATATCAGAATCCAAAAAAAGCACCGAAGCAGAACAGATGAATCTTCTCCTGTAATGATGTCTCCACTGCAATGCCAATGTTTACAGTTGGAACAGATCACTTTGATGGATTGGGAACTACAACAAGTGATGCTGCCTTACAGTATTTACATTGTAGAATACAGTAGACTCAAAATAGACTCAACATATCAAATATATTACAGTCTGTCGGGAGGTTAACATCTTTCCAGGGGGAGAATCTTTCACCACAGTTTTTTTCGTTGCTGTTTTATAACATATTATAATGCAAAGGGGGAAACAAAGCTGTATTACTGTTGGAAAAAGTTTTACAAAACAGAGCTGAGGCTGCAAAAGGCATCGAGTTCTGAAACTTTAAGATGCTGGCAATGCAGCCCATAGAGCAGCAGAACAGGTGTGACTACAAAAAGTAAACGAGAGGATCGTAATCTTGTTGGGTAGTTTTTTTATTTCCCTCCTCCAGGAAATCATTTTGCCCGGTGTGGTGGTCCCGGACCCAAAGGTGAGTACAACAGCGACACAACATCTCACCTTATTCCTGTTTTATTTTGAAATCACACACACCTGTGTTACAGGCACAGACTCTATAACAAGATGGATGAAATAGTTTTTGTTGTTTTGTTTGTTCAAGTGTTTTTTCCGGTAAGTTTAGTTTTAATGTTTCTGGGAAAAATGATGTTTGACAGCTGATGAAGACCTGTGATTGGTCAAGTGCGTATATTGGCGGGACCTCGATACCAGGGCTCCATTCCCCGATTGCTACTGTGCAGATTCTGGCCATCTTTATTCATGATGTCACACTTCGGTGCCTTGTTCCCCCACTTTCGGTTTGCAAAGCTTTATGTTGAGTTTGCTGAATATTTCTCATCCTGTTTACCTTATTTTTGCCTTCCTTCCCTGTCACTGACTTTTTTTTGCCTGTTTTTGTTTGATTTTGGATTTCTGCCGGCTCCCCGTCGGACTTGTTTGCCTTTCTGGACTCATCCCTCCAGTATTGACTTCTTGCCTCCTCCCTCTTAAATAAATCACTGAGCTGCTTAAGATTTGTCTCAGCTTCTGCATTCTGGTCCTTTTTCCCTGTGTTCCTGGCATCAGCTGCTGCATACATAGTTCACATCAGGCATTTCTTGAAAGTGTAAGAGTGTGTGTGTGTTTGTGCATACTCACACTGAACATCAGGTTGGGCTCCTCATTGAGGTTCACTCTGGTGACCACATGTCCTGTGTGTTCATCCACATCAAATATACTGGCAGAGTATGGATACGCTTCCTGGTCCACTTTATATCGCACTAGACCTGCGGGGGTGCCCTGCAAAGACAATGAGGTATACACTTTGCTATTAGGATGACAGGACGACATGTGGTTTCTAGAAAAATATACTTTTTTTTTGCAGAGCAGCCTCAAATTAAAACAGACTTGTACAGCATTTAATATCCAAAGCAATTAGTTTGGACCCAAATGTCAAATAGTGTCCCCTTGTCCACATGCTCATTATTATTTCCCATGCACACGTTTCTGTGAGTAGAGATAGAACAGTGTATCTGAAAGGATGGGTCACTCTCTGAAATTTGTACGTGTTAGTTTTTATTCCATTTCTATTTTTAATATAGAGTGTTAATAATAAGTATTGCATATTTGCTTATTATTACTATAATGATGTATATTTCTGACTGCCCGCTTGCAGTGGAGTTAAAGAGTTATCTTAAGAGTTATCTTATCTTGACATTTTGCCAGTGAATGGCCATTTACTGCAAAAAAAAAAAAAAACTTAAAAACTTATTTTGCTGCATCATGACTAAAAGTGTTGCAGTGTCAGCTTTGTGTTACAAGTTTTTCCGGAAACTGCATTCAGCGCAAACTTTAAAAAAGTTATTTAGTAAAAATCATGAATTTTCATTTTATTTCGGAGGTGCATCTGAAGTGTAGAAGCTCTGCCGTCCTCATCTTTCATTAAATAACAACTCACATTGAGTCAGCAAAACTTCACACTGACAAATTCTCAATGATTTTTACTTTAGAACTAAATTTTGGATCTGAAGGGTTGAAATGACACATAAAATACAAATATCATTTATACCCTTCAGGTCTGGAAATATACACATATATATATTATATATAGTGTATGGGGCTGTTGAGGTGCTCTCTAATGTCTTGTTACAGCACTGGGGGCGTATTTACAGCCAATAGCTTGGACAGGATAATGTTGGTTCTCACCCATGAGAGTTTAACTTGATGCTTGAACCTAAAGTCTGAACCGATTCCGCTGATGTAGGAAGACAGCGAGCACATTAGTCAAAAGAACACAGGGCTTTTAAAGAGGCTCAGGGGCAACATCGCCGGTTTAGAGGTGGGAGAGTGACAAATAAGACAATGGCTTCTTTAGCAGCAGCACAAATAAAGACACTAATGCATTGATTCGTCATAAATATTTACATGATTGGGGGATTAACCGTTAAATCACTAATTTGCCGGTTGGTTGTCTTTTGTTTCCAATAAAAACAAGAGCTATTTTTCACGCAGTCACAACCGTTCAGATCTGCATCTAAAGAAAAGACTGTGTGACTCAGCAAATCCTCACTAGATATTCTCACACACTGTCCTCGTGTGGACCCCCTGTCCTTTTAAACTTGGGCTGAACCACACCTGAGTGTCTGATGGCTCAGAACTGAAATCTGTAGAGTGATCCAACATTAATTTAAATCTCTTTAAACAGATCCTACATGGTAATATGCAGAATCTGTAGACGTGGGACAAGACTTGACTGGTTTCCATTTCTAGTTTGACTAATCTCAAATGCATCGTCTTTTTAATTTATGTGCATTTTCATCCAGACAGCTTTTAATATTAGCCAAAGCGTTGTCTGGACCTAGAACACCTAAAAATAAGTATCGCTGGAAGAACTATAGACGAACTATAATATCTGCCGTTGACCCCAGAGGCTAATTTGTTGTCGGATGAAAGCGACGGGCTCCGAGATTGACCTTCATTTTACAGCAGAGCAGACTGAGCCAGTTTATGTAATGAAGATGTTAAAAATTAAAAGCCCTGTTGAGGTACCACAAAAAGAAACACATTCAGTACACACACACACACACACACAC